GTGGTGTGTGGTGTGTGGTGCGTGGTGCGTGGTGCGTGGCGCGTGGTGTGTGGTGTGTGATGTATGCTCACGAGCGAGACACAGACGAATGGTGGTGGAGAGAATATAGAAGACAGCCATAGACATGTTTGGTGTGTGCTGATACTTGGAATTGAACTCAGAGCCTTGCCATGCTGATACGCTTTTCAGCTCACAGGCTGGCGCTCTACCACTTAGGCCATACCTCCACTCCAAGCTTTTGCCTACTACTTGCTTATGACTTTGTCTGCCCAGGTTGGCTTCAAACTGGCATCCTCAGCTCTCAGCCTCCTGAGTAGCTAAGATTACAGATGTGAACCTGGCAGAACATTCTTTTTAAATCTCACCAAACCTTTTTTTTAGTGTGTGTGTGTCAGTCTTGGGGCTTGAACTCTGGGCCTGGGCGCTGTCCCTGCGCTCTTCAGCTCAGGGTGAGCGCTCTACCGCTTGAGCCACAGCGCCACTTCCGGTTTTCTAGTGGTTTATTGGAGATAAGAGTCACACGGACTTTCCTGCCCGGGCTGGCTTTGAACCACGATCCTCAGATCTCAGCCTGCTGAGTAGCTAGGATTACAGGCGTGAGCCACTGGTGCCTGGCTTTCACCAAACCTTTTGCCAGTTGATGAAGTCTCTCTGAGACTGGAGTGTGTAAAGTGTGGAAGAATGTCCAGGCCAGGCACCAGTGGCTCACGCCTGTAATCCTAGCTAGTCAGGAGGCTGAAATCTGAGGATCATGGTTCAAAGCCAGCCTGGGCAAGGAACATCCGGGAGACTCTTATCTCCAATAAAGCACCAGAAGTGGAGCTGTAGCTCAAGTGGTAGAGTGTTTGCCTTGAGCTGCAAAGCTCAGGGACTGCACCCATGCCCAGAGTTCAGGCCCCATGACCAAAAAAAAAAAACCCCACAAAAAAAGAATGTCCACTCCTGGGCTGGTGGGTGTGGGTTGGGACTGGGAGAGAGGACAATCAGGAGACACGGGGAGGAGGAAGGGCTGTGATGGGGAAGTCTTTGTGTGGGTGGGAGCGGGGGTGGGGTGGGGGGGTCCAACGTCTCAGCTGTCTCTGTCCCCCCCAGCTCCCTACACCATCATCACCTTCCCCTTCCTGTTCGCGGTGATGTTCGGAGACTGCGGGCACGGGGTGGTCATGCTGCTGGCCGCGCTGTGGATGGTGATCAATGAGAGAAGCTTGCTGGCCCAGAAGAGCAGCAGCGAGGTGGGTGCGGCCCGGGCTCCTGGGGGCAACGTATTAAGTGGTGCGTGTGCTCTGCCAGCGGAACAAGTTTTCATGGAAAGACTAAGGGAGCTGGTGCTAGCGGCTCACGGCTGTAATCTTCGCTACGCAGGGAGCTGAGAGTTGAGGATCTCTGAAGCCAGTTGGAACTGGCAAGTCTGAGATTCTTATCTCCAATTAAGCACTAAAAAAAAAAAATGCCAGAAGTGGAACTGTGGCTTAAGCAGTAAAGAGCCAGCCTTGAGACAAAAAGCTAAGTTGGTGCCAATGGCTCGCGCCTGTAATCATGGCTGCTCAGGAATCTCAGACCTAAGGATCGCGGTTCAAAGCCAGCATGGGAAGAAAAGTCTATGAGACTCTTATTTCCAATTAACCACCCCAAAACCAGAAGTGGAGCTGTGGCTCAAAGTGGTAGAGCACTAGCCTTGAGCAAAAGAGCTCAGGGACAGCACCCAGACCCTGAGTTCAAGCCCCATGACCAACCAAAGAAAAGAAAAAAGCTAAGCAAGAATGTGAGGCCTGGAGTTCCAGTACCAGCACACACACACACACACACACACACACACACACACACACACACACACACACACACACACACACACACACAGAAGGTAGATGGGGGAGCTGTAAAGTAAGAGAAGAACCAAAATTCAACACTAAACTATCAAACTCCCAGCCAGAGATCGCTTCTTTGGATAGTTTGGTGGACTTCACTCAGCATTTTGGGGGTATGTTGTTTGATAACACACTGACTCTTTTTAACGTTTGTTTTGTGTGTGCTGGTCCTGGGCCTTCTTGTATCCTTTAAGGTTTTTTTTTCCTTGCCAGTCCTGTGGCTTGAACTCAGGGCCTGGTTGCTACCCTTAAGCTTTGGTGCTCCAAGCTAGTGCTCTTCTGAGCCACTGTGCCATTTCCCACTTTTTGGTAGTTAATTAGAGATCAGAGTCTCACAGACTTTCTTGTCTAGGCTTTGCACCATGATCCTCTACCTCAGCTTCTTGCGTACGTAGGGTTATAGGTGTGAGCCACCATGGCCTGGCTCCTTTAGCGTTTTTGCTCAATACTTGGCTTCTTGCACTTGAACTACACCTCTACTTCTAGCATTTTGCTGTTTAATTGAAGATAAGGGACTCTTGGGCTTTCCTGTCCCAGCTGGCTTCAAACTAGGATCTTTAGGTTTCAATCTCCTGAGTAGTTAGGATTCTTTTTAAATTTTTGTCTTTTGTGGTGCTGTGGACTAAACTCAGGTTTTCACGAGTGCTATACAGTCCATCACTAATCTACACCTCCAACCCCCTCTTTTTTTCTAACATTTTTTGCTCATTATAAAAATCATACCTATACTTTGAAAAATCTAGAAAACAGTACAGTCTACCACCTAGAGAAAAATCACAATGAACATTTTTTAATATCTTCCCATTTTGTGTGTGCTTATTCACAAATTCAGAAACTTCGAAAATGTTCATCATGAACCGGGCGCCGGTGGCTCACACCTGTCATCCTAGCTACTCAGGAGGCTGAGATCTGAGGATCAC